AGCAATTAATATCATTGTAACAAATCTTCGAGAATCAGGTTTTATGGATAAACTAAAACAGCGTTGGTGGTATGTTTGAATTTTTATATTAGTATAATTAGAGCATTTTTTTTTGTTTTGTAATTTGAAAGGTTTGAACGTTCAGAATGTTCACAATCGACCAAAGATAAACGTTTTAGTAAATTAAGCCTGTCTAGTGTAACCGGTCTTTTTTATATATTTTTATTTGGTATTATTCTATCGTGTGTTATTGCTTTTACGGAATTTCTTATCACAGCTAAAGCCGAATCAGAACAATTACAAATTGATTTTCGAGAAATTCTTCGTATTAAAATGATCGAGTATGTTATTCTATTAATTTTCCGTAGAAATTTTTCTCTATTGGAAAAAAAAATTTATCCTAGGAATCTTGTTGGTGTTACAATTAATGCTCAACGACAATTGGAATTTGGTCGTATTGACCATGAATGTAATTATTATTATCAAAATGAAGAAGATGAAATTATTGAACATTATACACAATATCAACTGCATAAACAACATAGTGATGTTTAATGAGTTAAAAAGAACATCTTGTTGTATAGATAGATGATAATGAATATTTCTGTTGCATATATCATATTTGCTATATTGTATTATGTATTAAAAGAATAAATATTTTTCTTTGTGTTTAATACATGAAGTTTTTTATTTAAAACCTCTCAAGTTTGAAATATAGGTTTCATTTTCAAAAGCGTAAGCATTAGAAATAAAACATATTGTCAATTATCTTCTGGGCATGGTGTTGGACATTTATCACGATGAATGCAAGGACTACCAGTACTATTATCCTGTCGAATATAATCTGAGCAAGCACAGCAACATCTAGTAACATATTGTAGTATACAAATTTGAGGTCTTTGTTTACACGTTTCAACACAAGCTGAACCACAAGTTTGATATTTTTCGTTTTTACGACAGCATTGAACAGGTGCAACACATTGACCATGATCTGCTCGATAATATCCTTGCTTGCAGAAACATCCTGAACGATATAATAAAATGCAAAATTTAAGTGGTTTTGGTAATGGATAATGTAAATAGTCACAAGTAGAAGCACAAGCTGAACCACATGTTTTATATTCTTCATTAACACCACATACATACTGGTACATCACTTAAACTTTTGCATTCTTCATGTTTGATACAAGGACTCACAGTAGCATTTGATTGACGTACATATCCATCCATGCAACAACATCCGACTTTGACCATTGCAGGACAAATTTTCGGTTTGAATGTACATGTTTCAATACATATTGAACCAGACATGTATTTTTCGTTTAGACCACATTTGAATAATGTCGTCAGTGAATCTATGAAAAATAATAATCCATTATCAAAGACAGAATATATTTGAATATCTTTTACTTATTGATTGATCAAAACTGGCGATAGGTTATAGTAATGTCATAACAATATGTAAAATCAACATCATCGTTAGTGTTTGATTCACTTGAAGTTTGAAACGAATAAATTCTATTCTAATGTTTTACTATATATATATGTGTACATATTCTTTTCATAGACATCCAATGAATAGTATATATAAAACACATTAAGAAGATGTAAATTACATTGGTTAGATGTCATGAACAAAGATCTAACACAGATCTATGAATAACTCATTGTGCGACAATAAAATGTACCGAAATGACAAAAATAGATTTGATGGAGTATAGGTACCTGGTATGTAGAAATCTAATAGGTCATCTAAAAGACGTTATATTTTGAAAACATCATATGATTTATTTGATTCATTGTACATTTTTTGTAACTGCAAGTGAGTTTTACCTACAAGTAAGACAATAACATTGAATAGATCAAAAGAAGTGCAAAACTCGTAAATATACTAACAGAGCACAGAGTGTGATTTGAGTAGAGAATTTTATTTTCAACATTCCAAACAAAATAACAGAAAAATAAAGTTAATAATAAGCCTAGTTAAACAATTTAGGGAGCCATTGTATATCATTAAACTTCTAGCGAAATATAATATTAATTAATCGTGAATTATTTGATGAATTTCTAGTACGTTTCAAATGAAAATAAATTTATAGCTATCTAGATCAATTCAAACTTGGATTATCAAACGAAAAATAATTTGCTAAAAACGACGATTTATTTTTTTTATAAAGCTTGACTAAAGATATACAGAGATGAGAAATCCGAATCTGTAAATAGTTTCTGAAACTCAAAAGTAGGTAAAACCGATTACAGATTCGGATTCTTCGGTCTCGATTAACTGTGGTCAAACTTTATTAAAAAACTATGATGTCTCTTCCCTATCTTCGATAGGAAAACCGCTCATGTTCATATGAGCACTCATGATCATCAGCTGTGCATATTGAACCGATGTGGTGGTATGTATCGGCCACCTGTAGTTGAATGCTGGTCACATATACAGCTTATAATCGCTTATCAGCAATATTTGTCACGGTCTGTGATCATCGTTTGCAGGCCGTTTGTGAGTGATATTTTACGATATGTTCCAAATTTGATTACTTTACTTCTTTTTATGAGAATCTTCCAAAAGAAATATCCGTAAAACGACACTGGACAATGAAGAAAATCAGAATACGGTAAAATTTGAAATGATTAAAAAATAAACTGAGAAGAAAAACAACTGATTGAATGAGTTGTAGACAAGATGAAATTTGATTAGCATATATTTTCGAAAAAACGGCACCGGAGACTATTAGAACCATATCCAAGCATTTGGAGCTATTTGAATAGTTGTGAATGAGTTTCTTCTCTTTGTGCTTCGCTTTGCTGCGGAGAATATTTCGATAACTTTGCTCCATAACTTAACATGTTGGTATATTTATTCATTCTTTGAAAACCTCAATGCAACATACTTTAATAATTTCTTTCATTTGTGAAGAAAGTCTGAGATGAAAGATAAAGATAGTGAAAAAACGTTTTCTATGCAAGTTATCTGAAAATCATCAGTATGAATGGTAGTAAGTGGAGAGGCAAAGAATCACAAACTAATGACGTATATATAACTCAAATACGATAGACATACTCGCATGTAAACACAGAACGCAGATGAGCGCAGTTTTTTTCTTTTCTCTATCATTAATAGCAACAGAAAAGAGCATAAAGTACAAATATAAGCTGTTGTAATCGTCGTTTCATTCATTATACGGTCGATAGCGTAGTTAAAAAAGCAGAAAGAACATGGCTGTACATGTATTTCTTATTTTGAGTTATGTATTATATGTGTATCTAGTTCGCAAATATCATCAATGTTGATTGGATATCATTCAATACTTTTTTACTTCTACTAACTGATTTGATGAACATGAACACACTTTACTATTCAGCTACTTTTTCATTAAATTTTTCGGAAAATATAAAAATTTTTCTACCAATTCTGATACTAATAAAATCGTACTTAGTACTATATCAGCCTCGTACTATTATTAGTATTCGTTTATTATTAAGTCTTAAATTGTCTTCATTTTAGATAATAACATTCAATAGAAATTTTATATTTCATCGACATGTCAACAGAAAACCGTGTTACTCTTTTGTTGATGAATGATTTAAACTGTTTCCAACCTTTGAGTCAATCAGATTCGATTGGACAATTATTCCATTCATTACTTCATAGTAGAACCACTATTGATCAGTGGGTAAAACAGACGGCTTCCATTGTAATACCGCCATCATTCAATGAGTTAAAAGCAATAATTAAAGACCAGTTTCATCTGGATGAAAACGCAATTATTATTGCTCGATTCTGTAGAGATGGAATTGAATTACGAGATGAAACATATTGTTTATTGAATAAAGAAGAGTGCCCACTATCCGATGTAATCAATGTTTACAGTATGAAAAATCTAATAAATGATGATGAACAAGATCAAAATTCTTATCGTTATCGTAGCGCTGAACTAAGAATTGTCACATTAGACAGACAGGTTTACTATATTAAAGTATGCTGGATTTGGTCATTTCTTGAACTTAAATTCTCATTGAAACAAGAATGGGCATTATTATCAGACACTAGTGTGAATGATATTCATTTTCTACATGCTGGTTCTGAAAAGAAAAATGATCGAATGTTGTGTAGAGTTGGACTTGGAGCAGGAAGTACATTATATTGTATTGTGCGAAAAGGATGAAGAACTTCTTTCTTTTAGATAGATTATCAAATAATAAAATTTGTTTGATTGTTTCAAACGAAGAAGAAATGAATCAAAACGTTGTTAGTTAGACTCTACCTTCAAAGAATTATCCTCGATTTGTCTTTCAATTTTCATAGGGTTCAAAGTTCACTTTTCGTTTTATTATAGAAAACTCGTCGACTTAAAAGTCGATTTTCGGTTCATCTTCAGAGATCATTGAAATTAAGAATATTATATAATGCATAGAATTGTAATTGTTTGTAAGACACTTACTGAATGAGTACGAGCAGTTTACAAATTATTATTTTAAGTTAAAAATCATATTTATATAGTCAGTAGATTTGATTACTTGCTGTATTTTGCAATACAATTCAGTATTTATTTTTATTATGTATGAAAGCGAGAATATAATAATGATTGTGAAAGATGTAAAGAAAAAAGAACGTCACATAATCAATGATTCATTGTTGTGCAATGTAATATTATAATTTCATCTTTCATTTGGAATTTTTGATGTTTGTATGTTTCTTTTAAATATGAAATCAAATCAATCATTTGTTCTTCATTAATTTTCTCATATGAAAATATTGACCATATTCTCTTCTGTGTAAGATTAATCCAATCGTCAAATGTTACACTATCATCGAATGTAAAATGATATGTATCATACTTAATATTTGTGAATCCACACATTTCTAATTCGTGCACGTAATTATCAATAGGAAGGGCTACTGATTTATGTATCTCATGTGTACGCTTATCCAATGGAAAAATTTCTTTTGGTGCACGTGTAACAATAACTAATTTGTTATCATCAGAATTCAACTATTGACGAAAGCCTTTGAAAGCTAATAATCGTTCACTATGTGATAATAGATGAACACAGTGTTTCAATAAAAGACGATTATACGCTGGCAATTGTTTCTGTTGACTGAATGTAATTGCATCCATACAAAATGCTTGAACAGTATTGGTTAAATTCCTTTTTTTTATTTCGCTGTTGAAGATTTCAATCATGCCTGATGATGGATCACATCCAATAATCTTTATTTGATTGTTAATTTTATTTAAAAACCAAAGACAATCAATGCCCGATCCACAGCCCACATCAGTTAAAATATGATCACGTTTGAGATCTAATATATCAAATATTATTGTATTTAACCACTGTCCATGAGGCGAAGAAGATGACTGAAATAATGGTTCTATATGATAATTGGATGCAACATTTGTGAAATGTTGGCGTAAACCATATACATTTTGGTCAGGATCACTAGACAAATTTTTATTGAAGTATTCAAATAAGAATAATTGTAGAATTTTCTTTATGTGCAGTTTTGCTTATATAATCTTTATCTTAATGAAGAAGAAAAAAAAGATAAATTCGATCATATAGTTTAGGAAATCAGTAAAAATAAAGAGATCGGAGATTGTTTCAAATCTTTTCGATAAATACCTAGTCGTTAAAAGGAGTTTTGTGCTTTACATGTTTCGGCACAGATTACTGTGCAATAAAAATTCGATCAAGATGTGGAAAAATCATGTAACTGATTATCTGGGAGTTTACAATGATTGACGGTAAGACACTTCTCTTCTAGTAGCATATTTATAGATAGATATATGACACTGCGTCATGGATAGTTACTCCTCGTTCTTTGTGCATTAGATAATTGTTGTTCTCATTCTGTTGTTTGCACTATTGCAACGGTAAATGTGTAGTTATCAAAGCTATGAATAAATGCTGGAAATATTTCCAGTTTCAAGGTTTCTTGATTATGAAAGTTTTAAAGAGCTTTTTACGGTTTTTTAAGCTCCATAAGGATTAATATGTATAAACTATATAAAAGATACCTTGGAGATGTCCTTACAGAATGACGCAAAGTTGACCTTCTTCACTAATATGGTAAAAAAAATAGCACATAGTGTTCTGAAATCTATGCTACTGCTTTTTCTTAGGAGGATAATTACGGACCTTTATGACAAAATGCATTATTGTTTATACAGAATGACTTGTAAATAGCTAGGCGATAAAAAAAAGTGGAATACATCGGATAGATTTCATTTAAATGCATTGATTTTTTTATCGATGATAGAGATTTCTTCAAAGTTCCTTTTAATAGAATACACAGTGACAAATTTCTCAGAACTTATATAACGTCAGATTTTCTTTGTTGAAGTCAATAAGAATGGCTCACTGTAGTTTTTTGTTATTATTTTTCCAATCAAAAGAAGTTTTGAACGAATCTCTAGCATCGAGAAAAAAAATCAGTTCGTTATAACGATTTTTTGGTAGAAGAAATGTTCATACGGATGAATTTACGCTTTATTTTCTTTCTTCATATCATCAATTGCATCGCTTCCATCCAAAAGCACGCGTTTATATATGCAAGCAATAGAGAGAAAGGGTAACAGAGAGAAGAATTATGAAAGAGAACCAATGTATTGGTGTCGTCACAGCAAACAAATAAACTACGTACCATTTGTCAACAGAGAACATGCATTTAGGGATGTGGATGTTGGTGTGGATGTGGATCTGGGTGTGGCATGTGGAGTGTGGAGTGTGTGGTGTGGATGTGGATGTGGATGTGGGGGTTGCGGATGTGAGTGTGGGCGAATAAAAGACCCAAAGCCACACCCAACGCCCACACCCACACCCTCGTGAACAATATGAATAGATTCTTTTTTTTCTTTCGCTATCAACTGTACATAGGTACGTATAGATGTGAATGAGAACAAGATAGACAAAAAAAGAGATTAAATAAAAAGAGAGACCAGAGAGAAAAGAACATTAAATTGGTATTTCTATTGAAAAATCTATTTTTAAAATAATTCTTTTGCGACCTTGAGAGCATGCAATGCTCAGGCTTTTATGCTCGTTCGGATAATGGCGTTTTTATTTAATCAGCACGATACTAAGTTTTCTTCAATTTTATCATAGATCTAAGTTTCGTCTAGTGGAATGTATCATTTCGATCAATTTTGTAACGATCATTGAATATTATGCTTTAATTCATGTATGTATTCGTGTCCACTGAATTCATTTGTTTATATGTTGATCTTGTGATAATCTTCGATTATTCGGTTAGATGATCGTTTCCTCTTTGCTATTTGTTCGTGGATGCTGTAATTTGAAGATATGAAACAGATCGATCAATATCATCTAAACATTTTGTTTTCTAAGTTCATCACATATTGGATGATTTAACCTCTTCGAATAAATTGTGTTGTATAGTATTGAATCTTTTGTTCTAGATTTTAACACAGTAATTACAATGAATAAGACAACATTCGAATTATTATCCAATGAATTGTTTCTTGATTTATTCGAATTATTCAATATTGGTGATTTTTTTCGTACTTTTCATGGTCTCAATACTCGCTTTGACGCTGTATTATTCATCTGTTTTCGAAATTATCATGTCAATTTTCGTTCGATATTGAAAGAAGATTTTAATATTTTCTGTCGAACTTACCTTACAATATATTTAAGGTTCTTCGACGATGAGGACGCACCATACCAATATAATCATTTTCTATTAATTGGCTTCACGTTAGGTCAATTTGATAATCTTCATTCTTTAATATTTAACCGTGTTGGTTTAGATCCAAAGATTAATCAATCATTTTTTCCGACTTCTATCGTCTACATTATTTAACACATCTGAAATTTGTCGATGTATGAACCGTGCATTCATGTACACCCACATCCCAGATTGGCGACTGTTCTCACCCTCACCCTTACAGAACAGGCTTTCTCTGAAGTTTAGATATTTATTGAGATTAGAGTCGGCGAGAACTTTTTATAATAAGAAAATACGAAGTGCGTATCTTGTCACAGTTTAAATTCTGGAGAACTGTTAGAACCACTGGCTTCGTACAATTGCCATCAGTTTGTCTTCTATACCTACTCGTCTCAGAATATTGAAAGGCAATGGGCTAAATGTTGATAGTTCACGATAGAACTCTTTCGAATAGTATTGTCGCAGTCGAGAGGCAGCTTCCAAAATAAGTAATACGCAAGACTTCATCATTAAAATATAAGCATAATGAGCCAGGGTAACACCAGTTTCGGCATCCGAGAGTGCCGAATGATCATCTGCAAACTTTTCATAGGCAGGTGCACAGTACCAATATTGAATAAGACGAGCTGTGGGCGCATCTAAAGTTTGTCCTTCGGCAATTGATTGAGTAAAAATTGTTCGATGATTGTTCTTCATGTCTAGCGCAACGTCCTATGCATAAAATGAAGCGAAAGTATATCGTTTATCACAGAAAAGAATTTCAAGGTAAAACCTGTAAAGCATTATCTTACTCAATATTTATCAAAAGAAGTCAGAAGCAGAATTAGAACCCGAATGAGGAACAATTGGGAGGTCAATATGCGACAACAGCTTTTCAGTTCAGAGGGAATATCAAGGACTTCTCGGAGAACTGACCTGTAGATCGTCGACTAATTGCATACCAAAGCCCAAATATTCCAGATATGCCATTTTGGCTCGTGTCAAACAACCCTCGATCAGAAATCCGGTCGCAATCAAAGATGCACCGCCTTTTTCTGCGCTCACCTCCTCGATCTGAGCCATTGTCGGTGCATATCCATCGTCAGGGCGCGCATGCTGTAATGTCGATTTTATTTGTGAGTCATGAATAGTAGCCAAACTCATGTATACACATTCATGCTCACCATGACGTACCCAGTCGTTTTCGATGAACTTCACCATATCAAATATCTTTGCAATTTTATCTGCGTATGGTTGTAACGATGCTGGCAGTCGCAATTCAGTCAGTTTCGATTGTTTTCCGTTGAAATGCGACTTCGAATCATAGTCCGGTTCGCCGATGCGTAATCGATTGTGCAGTACTCGCGCGAATTCTTTTTTCGCTTCTTGAGATATAGAAGTACAATCAACGAAATCATCTGTATACGGATAGAGCATATTGTAGCCGAAGAGTGAATCGGTTATCCCTAATGGTACATTAAACTCCACTTGAATGGCAATAATAGTCCACAGAAGGCGGCCTGCTTTGAACAATTCGTCGAAGTTGATAATTGGATCATATCGTTTTCCTTTATTCAGAAAGTCTAGGGTGCTGCGAACGAGTGATTGATACATTTCGTAAAAAGATTCATTTCGCACTGTGGGCATATTTAAAATATTATTACATAGACGAGCACCTGTGAACAAATTTTTTTGAATAAAATATTAATCATATATTTTGTCGAGTTCTGATATCTTATCTAAGAGTGTTTGCAGTTTCTCACCTTTGGAAAATATCTTCTTTTTGACACAGGTTCGCTTGAGTAATTTACTGTAGACATAGAAGACCTTGACCTTTCGGAAGATCGCTTTCTGCTGTCGATGTGTACGTCGTTGAACAAATCGATCGTCGATATTAGACAAATCTACTGGTCGAGAGTACCACAACTTGAGGGTATGTTCGTAGTTTAATTTGAGTCGTTCCTGGGTAAACTCTTCGTAGGTGTTATATTCGAAGAGAATATTGTTGTCATTAGAATTGAGAAGAACCTCCATCTAGCAAGAGAAATTACATGTAGTCAGTGGTGAAAGAGCATTTGCCTGAATGTATTTTACTGCTCGTTTTTCTAAGTCAAGCAGTAAATTCATTCATATACCTCACTCTCACACCGAAATGCTCAAACTTTCAAAATAGAGCCGGTATTCCACGAGCAGTTTTAAGCCAAAAGTATCGTTTCACAAAATATACCACATAGGGCGGAAGCCTAATCGTCGGACACTATCATCGGGAATGCATGTCGCTCTGTAGAATTGTGCTATCAGAAAAATCCTTATAACTGCAAAACTAAACCTTCACAATGTCCAACTCACTAGACTCCCACCATAAAAAGCACTCTTGCCAATAGTACACATTCTCAACATGATCGCGACGTTCAATTAGCCTGATTACCCATGAACCAATGACAATAGGTGACTGAGAACTTCAGAGCAGAAATAGAAACGCATATGGCACGGGCAAAAAACAAAAGAATTATAGGCAAAAATGATTCGCTGATTAGGTACCTACAATCAGTTCAAATACAACTAAGCAAGAATCGTTTGTTATCCTACCTAATTAGATTTCTAGTCGTATATAGACAAATGCATAATGGCTCTTAGAATTTGTTCCAACAGAGTTATTCCAAGCATCTGGGAAATCATGTTTGCCATAAGATATTATCCAGCGTTTTTCTTTCCGTTTTCTTCTGTCTTGTCCTTATCCTCTATCATCGATCTTTTCTGTTCGGTGCTTTATCGCCAGGCCTAGAAGCAACTGCTATCATAAAAAGTCATTTCTGTTTCGATTTTTCGACTATAATATCGATGACTTCTACTGTTACATTATACTCACTGATTAACTCCATTTTCTTCCCGCTTAGGTATCTTTAACCAGAATTCTCCTCGATTTGTATCTCCGAACTACCAATGCACATCCTTAGGATAATTATCCTGATAATTATTTTCTCATGGTGCTTTTGAACTATGACTCTTAGATTCAGCCTGACAACAAGAGAGGATTGAATCG